TCGCGTGGGCTAGAGGGGGGGGGGGGGGCCATTAACTCTGAGGGTATTACTTCGTACAGACCGGGAGAAGAAAGATGGGACATTTTGACGGCGCTACCTCCTGCAATGTGCTCACCCCTGCCGCGATGCAGCCAATACCTGCGGATGGGCCGAGATGAAAAGAGATAGCCTGCGCTTGGGGTGGCAATTGCACCCAGCATTGAGTTGTTTGTGGTCTGATGTGGACGAGTTTATGGTGCATTTTGGCATCAACACCCTGTCTGGTACGGAGTAGAATTTTGAGAACCAGTATGAAGGGGGCTTGTAGTCCGTAAAAGTTGACGTGTAATCTGCACCCGGTTAAATGTAGGTTTTGACGGCGTTGGTTGCCTTTTAGTTCCGCTTACAATTCCACCCCCGCGGTAGGGGGGCGCATAAGAGATTCGGGATCTGTACGGAGAACTAGAGTCTGGTGTAAGCGTCTCAAGATACCCTTCCCGTTGAGTTTTAATCTCCTCGTCATTGAGTTGAATGTGCAACATATGTTGTTGGCTTTTGACACACCCAGCCCGCCCTGGGCATACATGTCAAGTGCAATGGAGAAAGCCACTGGCCGAAAAAAGACTCGATCGCCGGGGAGAAGAGCAGGCACAGCGCAAAATAGCCAACAGACGAACTGAAAATGGCGGAATCTGTAGATTCGACAGCGTCTTGCTCGAAAATCCTTGGGATGTGGGCATCTAGTAGCTGTTGGCGCTCGGCAATGGGTTATCCGTGGTGGCGGCGGCGCCATTGGGGGGGCAAAAGTGAGATACACATTGCCAACGGATGGTGGTTTATATTTTTTGCAAGCTGGTCGTACTTGATTACTTTTTCATTTTGAGTTTCTTGAGCACATGCTGCTGCGTAGTCTGCAAATCTCTGGATTGGATATGATTCCGTCACGGCAGGTGTCTCTTTGGGCTGACGTTTTGCTCGCTTTGTCTGCAGTTGGACGGGCATGAGATATCGGGCAGCACCGCAACAGGAGCGTACATGTATGATTAAACAAAGGCGAGTTCATCTTGGCTCCCTCCTCCCTCCATCAAACCGACACGGAGCTTCGAGACCAGCTTGGGCACTCCGAGCTACGAGTTGCCCTGCGCCTCGTCCCCAGCGTGAATTCAATGTGGTCTGGTTCTCGGGCATCCAGATTTGAGAGGACGAGAAGCCATTGTCGTGTTAATTCCAAGGTTGATGCAACAGTCGATACAACGCCTGGCGCAGTAACTAATAATCCTCCTGCAATATGGACTATATCCCCAGACCTCGTCGTGGACGTTGCCCCGTCGAGCACCGGCGAGCTCACATTGGTCAATTTGCACGCCGTCATATCCGCTTCTCCGAGACACAGCGTCGTTCGTGGGCTGCGAGTAAGTAACTAATATGGAGTAATATTTGAGAATTGGCTTGATGGCTCTCTCTCGCTGGACCGCACTAAGACAAGGGGACGAGGGGATTGACGAGGGGGAACAAGGGGACTGAGGGCACAAGGGACCCGTCGATTGGATCAGATTCTGGGCAGGTTCAATGTCGCTGGCTGGACCAGGCTTTCGTGCAAATTCCACAATCCGCAATCCACAATCCACAGTCCACACAGTCCACCACCCTCCACCCTCCACCAAATCCACTGTCGCAGGTCCCAGACAGCCAAAGACGAAGCCTTTCAGAACCCACACAGACTCAAAGCCCACGGCCCAGTCCCATGGTTGTGCTCTCGAGGCCACCCTTCGTCCACCACGCCGCGCCCAGCCAGCCAGCCAGCCAGCCAGCCAGCCAGCCAGCAAAGCCGGCACAGAGAGCACAGAGAGAGCACAGCCAACAACAACCCCAACACAGCCAGCCGACGTGAGCAGCAGCCCATTTGGCCCAGCACTGTAACTACCGTCAATCTTCAAGCTGCTCCGACTTGATCGCTGCTGGTTGTCGCCGCTTCGCTAGTGCTGCTCCTCCGGCTTGCTCCTCCGGCCCTGGTCCAACGTCGACCTGTTTCCACTCGGCCTGCTCAAGTGGTCAACGACATCAAAACGAGGGCCAGCGAGTCTACACTCCACGACGACAATCTCTTCTCCGTTGCTGCCGCTGCCGCTGCCACTCGCATCACCGCGCCACCTCCCGCCGGTACGCTCTGGGTAACGCTCTGGGCTCGCTCAACGCATTACTCAACTGACTCCTGTGCGTGGACCGCGGCATATCACGCCCCATCCCGTCCCGTGTGAGCACCACTTCACTTGAGCCGTCGACGAGGCACACCGGCCCTCTTGTCTCGAGTTCTTTCTCCTGCGCATCTCGACACATCGCACGAGGCCCTCGCGTCCTGCCCGCCAACGTCGGCAGTGGCATCATACCTCGTGCTTCTCGTCTCCTTGGGATCCCCGCTTGACTGACCTTGACGGCCTGGGCATCAGCTGCGCTTGGTGATTTTGTTTCTCCTTTCCACAGCTGGCCGCTTCTGAAGGCCACTCCCAGTGAGTTTGCACCCAATTCCTCACACTTGGACCCAACCGCACAAACACTCCTGTGTAATCCACCATTCACCCTTGTTGGCGACTGCTCCTTGCCCTGGTAGCCCTTTTGCCCACGGTTTAGTGACGTCTGTACTGACAAAGAGCCTTCTTTGGGGTAATTCCCTTTTGCAGAGTTACATCATGGCCGAATACCACCCGTATGATCCCCTAGCTCAACAACGGCCGCCGCCCCCTCGCGGTTATCCTGATGCCAACAATTACCAACGAGATGCCGCATACTCCAATATCTTTGGTGGTGCTCCTCCCCCGGGACGATCACAGACAATGACGTCGTCATCTGCCCCCCCTCCCATGGACCCGGGGAGAACGCAGACCATGTCTTCTACGGCTTCTGGCATGCAACGTCAACCGCCGCCGAGACCACAGCAAGGTTACTACGGCGAGCGAGACCCCATGCCACGAAGACCCGTACCAAGTGACCCAAATGCTGGAGGCGGCTACTATCCGGGGCCGAGATCGGCTTCGGGCGGGCATCCACCGCCCTCATCACAGTCACATTATGCTCAGCAAAACCAGCCGAGACGACCATATCCGGGCCCTGGCCGTCCTCTTCCCCCTCGGATGGAGTCGCGGGGTCCGCCACCCCAGGCTGCAGGCGCGCGATATGGCCCTCAGAGCGGATATCAAGGCCCCCCACGGCCTGCAATGAATAGCGACCCTTATCGCTCACAGTCTCTTGCATCTGTTCCCCGGCCGCAAATGTATCAGCCGCCTCCGAGTTCATACCAACAATCGCCGGCAAATCAATTTCGTCAAGCTGCCTACTCTAATCACAACTCAGCCAGGACAACAGCGCAGGGCCGGGTTGTCCCTGAACGTCATCATGACGACCGTTCCATGTCAATGACCGGCTCTTATCACCCCATGGACCGAGATTCTCACCAAACAATGAGTGGCCGCATCATTCCAAATCGGAGGGCGCCAAGTGACATGCCAATGTCCAATGGATATGCCCCCAACGGAGGCTACCATACTGCCCCGGGATCCCAGACACGAACTACCAGTATGGCCTCGTCTGTTGGCTTTCCCGAACACGCCAGGACTATGTCGATGGCTTCTACCGCAGCCTCTACCATTACACCCTCCGAATCCGACAGCATGACGCTCGTAAGCCGGCCCTCTAGAAGCAAGTCCATCGAGAGCGATCGACCACCCACCGCCACTAAGATTCGCCCTCCGCTTGTTTATCCGGCCCTGCTCTCAAGAGTCGCCGAGTGCTTCCGACGAAAAATCATTACTGGGGACCGCACCAAGAATGAACTGACATACAAGAATGCCTTCAGCGGTTCTGAGGCGGTGGATGTGTTATCATATATCATCCGCACCACCGACCGTAACTTAGCCCTCCTGCTTGGTCGTGCCCTGGATGCCCAAAAATTCTTCCACGATGTAACATACGAGCACAGGCTGCGGGACTCGCAGTCCGAAATGTATCAGTTCAGAGAAACCCTTATGGAGGAGCCTGACGAAAAGCCCCCTGTTAATGGTGTCTTTGTGCTGCTGACCGAATGCTACTCCCCTACCTGCACGAGAGATCAGCTTTGCTACTCGATTGCTTGTCCACGACGGTTAGAACAGGTTTCTAGGCTGAACCTGAACGCGAGCTCCGGCCTCCGAAAAGATGATGCTGCGGTGATCAACGACGACGAGGTCGACCAAACCGACGAACAGAAGCTTTGGATCAACACCGTACCGAAAGAAGTTGCCGATGCAGTCGGTGAACGCGAAAAGAAACGACAAGAAGTCATATCCGAAATTTGCTATACTGAGAGAGACTTTGTCAAGGATCTTGAATATCTCCGCGATTTCTGGATTATACCTCTGCGATCGAAGGCCTCACCCATCCCGTTACAACGCCGAGATAAGGTTGTCAAGACCATCTTCAGCAATATCATTGACCATCCGAGTATCCATACCGTCAGCTCTCGATTTGCCTCGGCCCTCACAAGCCGCCAGCAAAAGAACCCCATTGTGCATAATATTGGTGACATCTTCCTCGACTACGTACCACAATTTGACCCATTTATTTACTATGGTTCCAAGCAGTTGGAAGGAAAGTTTGATTTTGAAAATGAACGATCCGTAAATCCATTCTTCGCCAAGTTTGTGGACGAAATTGAACGGCGGAAGGAGTCAAGAAAGCTGGAGCTCAATGGTTATCTTACCAAGCCGACCACCCGTCTTGCTCGATACCCATTGCTGCTGGAGAATGTGTTGAAATACACGGAGGAAGGCAATCCTGATAAGGATGATATCCCCAAAGTTTTAACCATGATTCGAGATATTTTGGGCAGAGTCAACGCCGAGTCTGGAAAGGCGGAGAATAGATTCAATTTGCGAAGACTTCAGGAACAGCTTAAATTCCGACCTCAGGAACGAGTTGACCTCAGACTTACCGAAGACGGACGAGAGATGGTGTTTAAGAGTCAATTCAAGAAATCGCCCACTGATCCTGCCGAGATCACTGCATTCCTTTTCGACCACGCTGTCCTCTTGGTTCGCATCAAGCAAAATGGCAAGACGGAGGAGCTCAAGGCCTATCGACGTCCTATCCCGCTCGAACTGTTGGCTATCCGGGAAATGGATGAGGTTATACCTGGTAAAGGAATGAAGCGTTCATCGTCTAGTCTGATTACATCGATCAGAACAAACAATGCCGAAACGAGGAAGGGTGAAGGCTGGCCGATTACATTCCGTCATTTAGGCAAGGCAGGCTACGAGCTGACACTATATGCTTCAAACCAGGCAGCCCGGAAGAAGTGGTTGGAGTTCATTGACAATGCTCAGCAGCGACTTCGTGCTCGTGCCGACTTTTTCAACACGACCATTATTTCGAGCAATTTCTTTGTGGGCACGAACCATGTCAACTGTGTTATGCCATTCGGTATGTCAAGGAATACTGTGCTGATAAGTTTTCGACTTATGACATGAAACTGAAACTGACGATTAATTTTTGCAGATGGCGGTCGCAAGCTTCTTTATGGTACAGACAACGGTGTCTATCTATCAGACCGTAAGAACAAGGCACAAATCCCAAGACGAGTGTTGGAAACCCCCAACGTAACTCAGATCGATATTCTGGAAGAATACCAACTCCTGTTGGTGTTGTCCAACAAGACATTGCAGTCATACACGCTTTCCGCGCTCAACCCCGATGAACCCGCCATGAGTAAGCGACCGAAGAAGATTCAGAACCATTGCAGTTTCTTCAAGACGGGTATCTGCCTGGGTCGACATCTCGTCTGCTGTGTCAAATCATCCGCGTTGTCAACAACAATCAAGGTGTTTGAGCCTAATGACGCTATGACCAAGGGTAAAAAGCAGAAGGGCCTTGGCAAATTTATGGCCGGTGGCCATGACGAACTTCGACCATTCAAGGAGTTTTACATTCCCACAGAGTCATCGTCAGTTCACTTCCTCAAGTCGAAGCTATGCGTTGCATGTGCGCGAGGCTTCGAGGTCGTATCTCTCGAGACTCTGGAGACGCAGTCACTTCTGGATCAGGCAGATACTTCTCTTGATTTTGTTGCACGTAAGGAAGGTGCCAAGCCGATTCACATTGAGCGTCTCAATGGAGAATTCTTGCTGAACTACTCTGAATTCTCATTTTTTGTTAACCGCAATGGTTGGCGAGCAAGACCCGAATGGCGGATTGACTGGGAGGGATCGCCCCAAAGTTTTGCACTCAGCTACCCCTGGATTCTTGCGTTCGAACCCAACTTCATCGAATTACGCAATATTGAAAACGGTGCAGTGCATATTGTACCCCACAAGAACATTCGTATGCTTCACAGCAGTACTCATGAGGTGAGGATGACAATTCGCGTATTTCAAACAGTGTGTGGACATGCCGTCGCGCTAACATGCTACTCAGATTTTATTTGCATATGAAGATGAGCGGGGAGAGGACGTTGTCGAAGCCATTGATTTTTGGAAGAATGACAGAAGATCCCAAATCTTGAGCGGCCCTTCTTCTTCACCCCCCAATCTAAGCAATTCTTGATATTCCAGACGAGATACGGTATTCTTTGTACCCCGACACCGACGACTATAGAGTAGAATCACCGCCCCTTTTGAAAAGAGACAACCGACGCCTTCTTGTATCACTTGCAGTTTGGGAGAGCCGACTCTTTAATTTTACCGCATCCGTATCTCTTCTCGCCCGCGTCGGCCTCTTTTTCTTTTCTTTTTTATTGGAACTGAGAGCACGATGACGAACCTGCAGTCTTACGCTGTTTACTTTGGTGGCTTGTTTTTCATTCTCCCGGCTGGCTTCTTGCTGGGCAAGGAGCTGGGCACCGGCGCAAAGTGCTGTGAGACAAGGTGGAACTGTGACTATGCCACTATGCAGGTATTGTTATCTTTTTGTGTTTTTTATTACCCACACAGACGCATACATAGCAGCGAGGAGTTTGTTTTTCAAACGGACATCGCTCTATTTATTGTTCAAGGTAGAAGGTCCAGGGGGGTGTTGCGTCCCTTGTCCAAAATTTTTGGCAGGTGACAACAGGGACACGCAGGGGAGAGGGTGGAGGTTTAGATCTCAAAGGCTATACCAGGTAGACGAGTTGAAGGGGGTGAAATGCCAAGCAAGGGGGGAGTGAGAAGACTTTACGGCTGGGTTAGTTTTGTACATTGGAAGGGCAAAATAAGCGACTGCGTGTGACTTGCGAGGCAAACTCGGCATTCTTCGATTGAGCGGTTTTTCGTTTTGAGGAGGGGGAAACCTAATAGGAAAGGAGATTTATATAATTTGCGCGTAAATTCCGGAAGCATTGTTACGAGAGTCGGCTCGAAATGCGAAAGCAATATGTGCCCTTGTTGTCGAGTACTGTCTGCATACAACACATACAAACCAACACAAGCCAAAGCCGACTATGAATGAATGATACTGGTAACGTGACAGCCTGCTATGGCCTTCGTCCCCCAAACCCCCCGGACGTACGAATCTCCGTCACAGCGGCCATCTCCTGCTTCTCAAACGCATCCACGACTCTCCCGCCGTCGACCTGCACTGCAGCCCATCTCTGCTCCCTATTCGGCCTCCTCCCCGTCCTCCCCGTCCACAGGCCCATCTCGTCCAACAGCACTTCCACCACGGTTACAAACCTCGCCTCTAGCGCGGTACTCCCCAGTGCGACCTCTGCATCTTCCGCCGTCCTGGGGATCCGAGAAGCCAGGAGGTGCAGGTCGAGCAACTGCGTAAAGACCAGCCCAAACGAAGGCTTGTTGCGCCTGGACGAGGTAGGCACGTAGCCGGGTATAGGGAGCGGCGGGGGGTTGAATATCGACCGGAGCGAGGGATCAAGGGGTTTGCTGCCGGCGGCAGCCGGATAAGGGCGGTGCCTGCTCGGCTCCGGCCCATGGGAGTGGGCAGACGAGGTGGTCGAGTTGAGGATGAGGATGAGCGGGCTCGAGGGCAGGCTGCGCGAGAGGTGGCGCAGGCGCGACGAGAGCAGGGACAGGTTCGCGTGGGCGGCCGGCCCGGCGCGCCGGGCGAAGAGCGACGTGAGGAGGCTCGAGAAGTGCGTGACGAGGACGACAGAAGGGGGCGACGGCGACTCCGCGCCGGCGTCGGGCGGCGAGGGCCCCTCGTCCTCGCTGTCCTGAATCTCGGAAACGGGCGGCGACGGCCCTCGACCCGAGGCCCGGCCGCCCTTCCCGTCCAGCTCGGCCAGGACCTCCCACAGGCCGTCCATGTCGAAGACGCACGACAGCATGACGCAGTCCAGGCTCGTCCTCGCGCGGCGCTCAACGTCCTCCTTGGCGACGACGCCCTCGCGGGCCAGCTCGGCCGCGATACCGTCCCTCAGCGACCGCAGAATGACGCCAGCCGGCTTGGGCGTGATGACCAGCGCCCGCTGGGGGGATTCAAGCAGCGCCCTGCAAAGGACCTGCAGGCCGAGCTACACCCTGGCCCCGTCAGCAACATGACAACAGGATCCCCGGGGAGGGCGGGGGGGCAACACGAAGAAATGCAGTGCAAGAAAACATACAGCTATCCCAAAGGACTCTTCTTCCGCGCTCAAGCCCACAACGTGTCCTCTCTCCAGGCCACCCAGGAGGACGTAATCGTCTATTTCAGAACACGATGTTTTGAAATACCCCAGTTGGCGGAGATGGTTCCTGCGCTCCGTTTCTCGTTCGGCGAGAATGGACGCCGCCACGGGAGCCAAGGGGAAGGGCTGGGGTTGTGGCCTGTCCATGCTGAGAATGGCGTGCTACCGTCTTCCCTTCATTGATTCTATATGCGCAGTCATGATACTACACGTGCTGGGATAGAACTGGATGATTGTAGAGCGCGGCTTAGGTCACACGGTGGATAAAAGTTCGATGGCGATGTTGAGGCCAAAGTTCATGCGGCTGGTGGTGGAGCTTGTCTTTGACACGGTGCATGATAGATCCAGCCAATGGGGGACGTTGGCAATACCAAGACGGGAAGATGGCCACGTCATGTCTTGGTAGCTATGAAGGCTGAATGCAAGGGTTGCAAGGAAAGGTAACTACGCTGTATTTTTACGGAGAGGGGGTGTTTTGAGACGTGACGAGCATTGTACATCGTATTCAATTCTCGCTGTCAAAGATTGATGCCGATAGTCACTCTTCATTTTGCTTAGGCATGTCTTTGTGCCTTTCACAACCAATATCTCGTCGAAATACCCGTACCCCCTGGCGTGCTTCGTGATCATAGGATATTTCAATTGGTCTTTGGTTAGGTCCGGCAGGCTGTTTTGGAACAAACTCGGAGGCTAGCTCAACGTGCCATCAAGGCGCTGCGCGTCTCACGATACTTCATTTGAGCGACTATGAGCAAAATTGAGGCGAGGGGATCACTGTATTCACCTTGCGCAGTATTGAACAGCCCAAAATGTGTCTGATGATGCACTTTCAGCATAATTTAAAATAAACGTCTACTCATAGCAATCTGCCAAGTATTTCGCACATGGAAGTGCCCTCTCCTCCAATCTCAAAGCCCAACAAGATAAGAAACTGATCCCGACGGTGCATACAAATCTATCAAAGCCCGACAGATGACCACGAGTTGCTACTGACGCTTTGTAGACGTCTCACTTTAGGTCCAGGTACGCCAGTCTTCTATCGTCTTCCCAAACTCCCCAATAAGCCTTTACACAAAGAAAATCACAGATGCCGAGTAATTATCTCGACAGAGTATCGTAGCAGGCCGAATAACCCGCACATGGTTGCCGCTAATTGCGGCCAAGTGCCCAGAACTGCCTGGGCTGGAGCTTCAGGCGTCACTTGAAACCACATTTCTGTTAGCCCCGACCACTGACAGAAGAGGTGTGAATCACCGTCACTTCCTGCTCCTCCAACTGCTGTCACGGTGGCCATTACCACATAGATCGCGACAGAGCGTCAATGCTGCGATGGTGCCTACTTTTTCCACCATTTTCTTTCAACTGTTTAAATTGCCATTCCAGACCCTGCAAGTTGAGTGTTGGTGTCCGTATTCTTAGGCCTTCGTCCACCCTTCAGACTCTTCATTCGACCGAGAATACCAGTTGGTCTGACAGGAGGGCTGTCCTCCCCTGACATCATCGCGTCTGCAGTGGCTCGTCGTTCCAACGCTGAACCAGATAACCTCCGGGGGATCGCTGGTGGGCTGGCTGGAGACTTTGCTCCGCCCCGAGGCCTGACACTGATGCTCTCCTCACCTTTGCTAAACTCGGCAAAGAAAGGGTTAGGTTCGGAGTCTACACTAGAGGCAAAGGGCATGCCATCCGGAGACCGCTTGGTGGATACTGCATCGGGATTTGTCAATCTGCCAGATGGAAAATCTCGGGGTTTGTTGTTGATGTGACGGATTCGCTGCGCTAGCGACTTCTTGCGTTGCAAACCGTTATCGGCAATCTCTTGCTGCTGTTCTGCCTGTCTTCGGACGATTGCGCTTCGTGCAGCAGGTGTGCCCTCGAGGAAGGTAGAGGTACCTAAGCCGTAGCTCTCATCTCCATGAACCAGGGATCCACGAGCGACGGGATCAAAAATCGCTGGCTCTGCACTTGAGCTACTTGGGTAGTTGTATCCATTCTTGTTCTTCATGCCGCCAGAGTAATCGCGAAATGCTTCGTCTGTGCCGTGACCCAAGAAAGTCGCATGATCCGGGTTCCGATTAAGAGGGCCGGCACCACCCAGTGAATTATTAAGAGAGTCCTTGGGGAAGGCTTGCATTGGAGCGCGCCTACTGCTGTGCTTATTTCGATGCGGGTTCAAGGCATCAAATGGGCCATCATGATGGAAAACTGACAGACGTTTGATTAGATAGAGAAATATGCAAAAAATGATCAACACAACTTACGGCCAGTACCATATATGCTGGTTGCATCTAGCTGGTCGATAATATCCATTCGTCGGCTTGGGCGACCAGACTTGCTCCGTCCTTTACCATCTCGCTCCTTGTCACGAGGCTCACGGCCCTCGAGACTTTCCTTCTCCCGGCTTCCTTTTTCACGAGCGGCCTTTTCACGGCGTTGTCGGTCTCGCATGCGGTGCTCCTCAATTAGTTTCATTTCTTCGGCCGTAATAGGCTGAGCATTGAAGTCCAAAACGGATGAGTCTGAATTTCGTCGCGGACGTCGGACCGGTTTCCTCTGAGGAGACCTTGATGTTCCGGGCTGGGGAGCTGGGCCTGGACCTGGTTTCCTTGCCCGCATGGCTTCTTCTTGTGACTTGGTAAGTCGGTGCTTGTCGCCAGGCTGTTGGGATTCCCAGGGACGAGCAGCGGGAACCTGATCTGATGGGCGCCGCTGGGCAATCAGCGGCGGAGGCAGCTTATCGTTTTGCATTGTGTCGTCGAGCGTTAGTGAATCCTGGAAACAAACACATAGTTAGCTACTAGGTCGACCCAGCCCTGGTCATTCGGTCTCGTGCGGATTGGTGTGATGGCCGTTGCCGTGCTGGCGATGGCGTCTTTATGCAGAGGCACGTAAACATACGAATATATCTTCAGCGGACAGCGACTTGTGCTCCGACTTGTTGGAAACACCACCTGGCGACTTCAATGGTTGCTGGGACTGGTCGAGGAAAGGATTCCGCGATACAGGTCTCTGGATAGGCGTGGGGTCGGCAAAGGGCGAGTTGGTTGGTGATGGAAAGGCAGCAGCATCAAGGCTGGCAGGCGACGCTGCCCGGTTGCGAAAAGGGTTGTTGGAGGACAGGTTGATTGATAAGCCTGGAGAGGGGAGTTGCCCTATGCAAAAGATATAAAGAGTTAGTTTTGGAATTTGATTCATGCATGTGCGAACCGACGAAACAAGATGAAACGCGACAATCTCCTCCACATGTCACAACAGAGAGGCCAAGTCAAGGGGGATCGGCAGACAATGCGCGCGCCAAAACTGGAGGAGACATCCTGACGGCAGGCATTGCACCACGTTCAATGACGGCGAAAGCTCCACGCCCTTGCCAAGGAGAGAGAGGGGTCATGGCCAGACAAGAGCACATGTGCCGTCCATGACCGTCCATGAGCACAGCTTACCTTGCTGGAAAGGGCTTGGGCTAGACATTTTGACTGGTTGGCAAGGAATAATGCAGCCCCGGAGAGTGTGGTCCGTAATCGATTAAAAACAAAGGATACAGATTAGAAACCTATCAGTCAAAGGCCTCTTGTGGGTGGTCAAATCCCTCGGGCCTTGGTGCACAGGCCGGATGTCATGCCAATAGGAAAGGCACGATGGTAGTTTCCCCGTTGCGGTGAAACGGGCAGAAGGGCGGCTACAGCCAGTAGATGGCGGGGCGTCTATATAGGATCCAGGGGTTTGTCGTTTGAGAAGGGGCGAAGCGGTGCGTCAATCGCCAAAACCGATGCCGACAAAATATGCGTTTCGCAAGCCTTTGGGCAACAGCGGGTCGTAAAGGGGGCGCGATGATGGATGGGAACTGTTAAGGAGAAGGGACCAGGTCGAGATACGCAAGGTGCCGGGTGAAGCAGCTGATCAGGTCAAGTTGGATGGATATTGGTACGACCTCGGTCTGCACTGGGCCGAACGTCTCTCCCGTCGGTCGAATAGCACCAGTTGACAAGTACAAGGTGGAACGAAGCAGAGCTCCTCATGCAGTCGATTCGTCGTCAAACGGATTCGAAGTGCGCAAGTGAAGGTTGGAGGCCGAATCTGAGGGGCCGTGCAACAATGGTGAGGGAATGGGAGCCGTTATGTTCAAAGACGAGCAGGCGACGCTCAGGGTCTAAATGGGCTTGCTGGGATATCGACCTGTGTAACCCATGGCCAGCCACGAAAGCCAGCTTCCTTCAATCGTCGTGGCCAAGGCTCTGAACAGAACTCAATGGGGGCTTAGTTCCTCTCTGCGCACAGAAATGGCGGCGTGAAAATTGGGGATCCAGATGGGCTCTAGGCCCGAGAGTCCAGAAGTTGAGATGCACAAGTGGGGGGACTAGTGGTGCCAAAGACCAGGGGTCGTAGTAAATGGTTGCTTTTTTGACGATCGAGCACCTGGGAGATCCGGAGGCACGTTTTTGAACCGGCTTGAGGCTGACGGCCGATGGTCGACGCCAAGGGGAGAGAGTGTGTGTGTGTTGTCGAGCTGTCGAGCAGTCTGGACACAATCGGTAGAGCAATGGGAAACGAACCAGGCTGACGTTTGGGATCCTGCCAGAGGCAACGGCTAAGATGCCATGGTATCCCTCGATTGAAGTTGGACAAGAAATTAAAAAGTGATTCGACGCCGTGGCCAATCTAGACTTCAACCTTGTCGCTCGCTCCGTCACTGTGCCAGCGGTATCTGGCGGTACCAACACAGAACGAGAAGCTCGGCCGCTTTGTTTCGTTTGCCTCAGGCGTTGTTTAGCCAAGATCTGACACGGCTGGGGAAACACTGGTATGCAACGAGCCGGCTTGATCACAGGCAACAGCTCTTCCACTAAATGATGATGATGGTGTCTCGGACGCTTTGATGCTGTCAGGTAAAAATCGAGAGGTCAATGGTTACTGGGCCAGATCAGACACTGCCTGTCTTGTATTGCAAAATTGTAGTGGCGGGCGACGTATTCTAAGTGGGTGAGCATATCCTGGATAGACGCTGTGCAAATGCAAGAGGACGTTGAATTAATACGAGGCTTTACGTCCGGGTGTTTTCTACAATATTTAGAGGCACAAATGTGTATTTATATATACATATATGCATATTTTGCACATTTACGCATTTTACCTGGGAGTCACGGTCCAAATGTCCCAGTCTGTCTCTAGCACTGAGCAACTCGGCACGTGAGTACGGAGTACTACCAGGATCGTTTAGGTATGGTTGTTGTCTTCCTAACAAAAACAGCAGGAGCTTTGAAGCCCAACTTGCAAAATGTGACTTCCAAATGTCGCTTCAGACCACTCGACCCACTTACGCATGGAACAGCAAATTATGCAGTCTCCGGGCTCGAGAAACGACCCCAGGGCTCAACTCCACACGCCGTCAATCACCAGGTACTATCCTTCCTTCAAAAAGCACGGTGGGGGAGATACCTGGCTGCTACTAGCCTAGGTAGGTGCTTGGCAGACACAATGCTGTGTACGGAGTCCTTGCTGGTATTGCTATTTATTATCCCCACTTTGCCCCGGGCATCATTCTCTTCGGTCCGCCAACAGGTTTGACGGCAGAAGCTGATAGCTGAACAGTACTCCGTATACATCAGTGGACGAGCTCGAGCGACGATAATCAACTCTACATGTCGTTGGCGCCGACATGGGTAGCTGAGGGTCAATTCACGCCCAGGTCCATGGGCGATGGCAGCTGTCCCAGGGTTCTTTACTCCGCACGGCTGGAAGAGGATAGGGCTTTCACCATAGTGTCGTTGATTTTGGCTATTGGACGCCAAGCAGAATCCAACTGTGCGCCGGTCAAAACCTCGTCACTAGCTCATCACGGGCAGAATGTAATCTCGCTATTGCCAGCAAGTGTAGAAATACGCTGAAGGAGGGAGACTTATCCGTCTAAACTATTGAAGCATTCGAAATTTTGCAGACATGCCCTGGACTCGTCCATGACTACCATTGGAATGTTCAACCCCCCTTTTCGCAGCGATTTATTGGTCGTGCAAATAGCATAACCCCTTTTTTGGCCTTCACAACGCCGAAAAGCGCAACAGACATGCAGTCTTCGAGATTCATGCCCTGGTTGTTACGCCGTGTGAGATCTGCGTTGGGCATGGCCATGCAACCCCGCCGTACAATACCGCCTTGCCCACTTCTCGTGGGCCTCATCAACTCGTCAAATCGCGCGCAGTGCCCGGCATATTATTAAAGTACAATATATTGATTAGATGGGGATAAGCAATTCCCCTGCCCAGCGCGACCCAGCATGACCCACGGCCCCTGAACCGAACGACAATGACGTTGGCCGCATTCCAACAAGCTCACGGCGGAATCACCCACCACCGTTTCTTCTTGCGGACTGCTGGCCGAGAGAGGGGCCCGAAACCACGAGTGGCGGCGTCAACGGTAGAATATGTTCTTGTTATTCGAAATAGCGTCGAAAGCGTTGTGCCTTCTATGATGAATCTAAATTGCACAATCACTCTGGCCCCCCCACTTGCATGCCTCCAGTCACTTCTCGTATTGAAGCCTGGGTGCAAGACTCTGCCGCCAATGAAAGATGGCCATAAATGACGACCGCAATTTGAAACTGTGGGCGTGCAGACATCCAACGACGTCTGTCGTAAGGAGTGGTTTGGTCGTGTTGAGCCAAAATCAAATTTTAGACGCGCTTTGCTAGAATGCTTGTTCCGAGAGACTTTTTTTTCCCAAAGCTCAAGTGTACTCGGTCCAACCGCGTTCCAGAGTCACAATGGCGTACAGGGCAAAGCCCCTTGATACTAAGTTCTACATAGCCTTTTATCTCTAGTGGAAGACAGACAAAAATGCAACTGACCGACTAGGGTACACCGCTATAATAAATTATACGCAATTAGAAACTCAGATGTACTATTGGTATTGTAGGGTATGCTCTTGCCAGAGACTCCTCGCCCGACGTGCGCTGTACAACTCAAGCATACCCACGGAGAGATGAGTTGTCTTCAGGTACAAGTTGGCAATACGATAGCGCGTTTGCATTTCACCTTGTGATAAGACACGACAAGTGCGTGGTTACCGTGGTCGATCTTTAACTACTAGTACTTGCTCCCTTGCCTGGATTATCACCTGGGTATTTTATTGAGTTGGTTTAGTAATTGCGCCACTGAAGAAAAACTGTCTGACAGTGGCCGAAACACGTACGGTCCCCACCATTCCGTCGATTACTATCCAGGGCGTGGTCCAAAGCAGGGGCTGATGCTTGTGACATGTTGGCTCTGTGTGTAATAATAGGAAGTCAAAGTCTTCCGGTACACAAACCAATCTCCACGAAACAATTTCTCATTCTGGTCAATGTCAACGGGGGTTGCGGCGAGATGGGCGAGATTCCCAATCACCAGTACCAAGAGTCGAGCAAGAGAAGCATCACACTCAGCTCAAGCCTCGTCACCACGGCAGATGTAGAGGGGTTTCCAGATTCTTCCCCATGGTTTCTTCAGCTGTACCAATATCGCCTAACAACGCACGCATATTAGCAGGAGAAGACATGCACCGAAGGAGGGTTGAAAAAAGTAGTGCACTTACCTGGCCCTCTGGGTGCCCAGTACTCCCCAGTTTTGGAAATATCTACATGATCAGTCCACTGGATAAGGGTCGAGGCGGCTTCGTCGGATGTGACAGCTGCAATGAAGTCGTCAGGTCTGGTTGATGGGCTGTGAGGATGGGAAGATATCAATATGTATGGACTCACCGCCTCCAGCGTCCCAGTATTTGTCATAGCCGACTCCTTTCGTCATGTCGGTTCGCATAAATCCAGGATGGACAATACTGATTATCACACCTTTCTCCTTCAAGTCCAAACTAAGCAGCTTACCAACCATGTTGAGCGCCGACTTGCTAGCATGATGAGCATAGTTGCCACCGCCCTCCTTCTCGTGGCGGAGGCCTATGCTCCCAGCCTCGGAAGACACCAAGATAACTTTGGATCCTTGGTGGAGCAGCCCAGCGTGAACAAGGCGATGGACGATAAAGACGGGCGCAACGGAACTAGTCGTGTACATTTGGAGCTCTTCATCCCAATTTGGGCCCTTTTCAGCGCTGATGTCCTCTGTGGAGAAGTGGCCAGCGGTGATTATCTGTGGTTCTTGTATGTTAATGACTGCAACTAGGCATGTTCGTCTCGGGTCATCTCCAAGGATACTCACAAGTGTCGACAACGGCTTAGCGTCGCCGAGAAGCTTAACAATGTCGTCTCCGACAGAACTCTTCATCAAGTCGACGCCGTTGAGCCACTTGACGTGTCCTGGAAACCCAGAGGGGACCGCACTAGACCGAGCAGTTCCATACACGACGTTGGCGGCAGTCGCCGCATACTGCTTAACTAGACTGGCACCCAGACCTCGGGTGGCCCCGACAACTAGAATCGTTGACATTTCGGTCGAGCTTGTGGAATTTGCGGTGCGATTAATGACGAAGGCGCCTAGGGGTTT